GTTTGCTTGAAGGGGATGTTGTGTGCTACTTATTCGCGGCGTCGAATGGAAATGATCAATATGCACCGTACTTGTTTGCGGCTTTTGCAGCAAATGGAAGCTGGTGTTGTCATATTCCTGGTTTTGTGTTTGGAGCTGGTGTTGTCATATTCCTGGTTTTGTGTTTGGACTCGGCATTCCCAACATGCCCATAAGTGTCATTTGTAGGTTAGTTTGATTAGACATCCACTGGTTTAGACGGGTTTCATATTTCCCGGGGCCATCTATTTGTCCAAAAGGACATCTAGCATGCCGCTTAGTTGGATCAGAGGACGACCACAAGCGCAGTGTCTTGAGGGGTTGGCAAAATTCGGGTGGCCTCCCTATGGCTTTTGAAGACCAAAGACCGACAGGGATCCGGATCCCACATCAGTTTCAGGTTATCACTCCGAAAAAACAACGCCCGTGTCCACCGAGTCCCAAAGTCTCCTGAAGTCTTTTGAATAAGGCTACCCACCTTTTCGAACGGCACGTTTGAAAGCCGGAAAGCCAGCCAGTTTTGGTGGAGTCCAATGAGTTTGGGATGAGCCCCCTTTCGCCGTGTGAATTGAAGGGAACCCAGAAAACCAGCTGGAGCGAGCCCTGCCCTAAGCCGCCAAGATGGGAGGGTTCCGAGAACTCGGCTTTCAGCCTTCCGGCTTGGGCCGGTCGAGTTACCCCAAAGGTTTTGAGCAGAACTGGCCGGTTCTCAGCAGGTATCCGGGAATGGCTCGGAATGAGCCCTAGAAACTCATCCTCCATAGTTTCCTTTAAGGGAATCCCTGGAAACATGCCAACACCCTGGGCCATGCCCTGAGCACCAGCGAGAAAAGAAGCCCAGTGAAGAACTGACGTTGTGTCTTCGGGTGCCCCTTGGGGTTACAAAAGGCACCAAAAGGAAACCACTCATCAAGTTTTGACAAACCCAGAAGGGGGCAGGTTTATGTGTATGACCTTGATTTTGTGGTTCAGTTGTTGCATTCTCAACGAAAATGAAAAGGGGCCCTCAAAAAGGAGCTCCTATCGCTTTGAGGGGCCCGGTTTCGCATTTGACGATTTCTTTTCAGGAATAAAGGGAGGAGGGGATCTTTCAAATCTTCCCATTTCTGAGGTCAAAAGATAAACCTATTTGGGTCCCTGCATTCTCCAATCAAAAAGGAACACTGCAACCCTGACCCTTTGTCCACTCGCAGGCCCAAGAAGTTTTGCCCAGCTGGACAGAATTCACATATGTCAGAAGGAGATTGGTCCAAAGTTCGCTCCCTGGCCTGCTTCTCCATGATAATTTTCCATGAGTCTTGCGGATGTATGGGATTATTAAGGATGGCCGGCCCAAGCCGATTGCTTAGATCTTTTCCCGGCTTTTCGTGGCACCATATCCATGGGCCAGTGTTGCCGGTCAACTATGCGACTTTGCCCCAGAAGGAAACTGAAAGATGTGGCATTGCGGCATGTCCTGTGCAAAGAGCAAACTTCAAACAGATTACTTGAGCGCCCAAGACCCCTGCGAGGTTGCCATCATAGCTGGTTGCGGTTTCCTGGTTTCATTCATGGGGGTTATAATAGCAAGGCCTTGGGTAGAAGCAATCTCAAATCTAGGCGCTCGCCTGATCACCTGAAGCTTCATTTGCGATGTGTCCTTGTCCTGTGACAGAAGACTTGCAGATGCATCAGGACCTGCTTGCGAGGCCACGGCCAGAGTCCAGAGTGGACGTCGGCACTTGCCAGGAATGTTTGCAACTGGCGATTGATTTGGAGACAGTGCAGGTCCGTGCGCCTGTAGGCAGACGTTCCAGTAGTCGTTTGGAGCTTGGCGCGCGCTGCGGACGATGTGAATCGTCCGTGTCCTTTAGGGGTGACGGTTTGGGGAGAACGGATCGTTTTCGCTGGACTGTGAGGCTGATTGGCCGAAGATGCACATGTCACGAATGCGAATGGGAACACGAAGTTTAAAGCAGAACACTTAGTGAATTGGGGCGGGTGTCTCATTTGTGGTAGCGTTTGCTGTTAATCAGGGTCAACATCATTCCTGGGACAACCTTCTTTCTTTTATAAACTGCCCATTCAAGACATGTTTTCGAGCACTCACTTTTTGTTTCTAGAGCTTCGCGCTGGTTTCGGTGAGATTAGACCAGGCTGGTCACTAGTTCGTCAACGGGATCCCGGACAAGAGGAAGGCTTCGATCAGTTGGACCCCCTCGGGGTTGTATTAACCAGGGGCCAACATACGAAAGCTAGTAACAAAAAGATAAGTCTGTGATTTGCACAAGCAGGCAGTACTCTAGTATTGCATCTTCAGCCTACACTTGCAGAGCCTTCCGGACAGTCTTCTGGACAGGCTCCCGGATAGCCTTCCGGTCATTGCGTCAGACATTTGAATCTCTTAAAGAGATCACAGACATGGATTCTCTCTTGCATGGAGCCATTCCCCCTTTGAAGAGGCGTACGGAATATGCTGCTTTTGCCGTGATGTTTATTGCCTTATTGCACTTTGTTCCAGCCTGATTTTTCCTTGGAGTTCTAAGGCTCAAGCGGGAGAATTCAGTGGAACAAGCTGATATTTGAGCATGCAGCTTAGTGCATGTAGTTCGGAGAAATCTTGCGGCGCCAAAGTGCGAGGGACGGGCAGACGAGTTTTGGATGTTCGCGTACCTATTTTGCGATACAACCCCCAAGCCTCAAGTTTCTGCACATGGGCCCGGGCAATCTATAGCGACAAGACTGGCGAACTCATGCAGGTTCCTTTCCCTCATGTTGGAATTCGAGTTCCACAGCGAGGTCCATGAAACTCCCACGTTGGATGCGCTGTTTGCGGGCGTGAGGGGGGGTCAAGGGATCAAGCCAAACCAGGCTTCCTTGGTCTTTGGACCCCTTGGATCAGGTTTGCCCCTTCTGGGTCTCTTTTTTTGGTTGGACCAGATTGGTTTGCACCTGAATAGGGCAATAGTACACGAGATCCCTTTGTGGAGGGTATTGGCATGGCGTGTCTCAAAATAGAGTGCCTGTTTTTGGGTTAGAAGAAAGAGGAGTTCCAAAGAGAAGCCAAGCCTTTGTTGAAACATGCTGTCTTGCAGCTCGATATTGCGGATGGACGCACTCCTGCCCCACCCAAGAAGCCATGAGAAACCATTGCTTGTTGGTATTTACCAGGGGAATAACCTTTGGTGCATTTTGCTTGGATGTTAGCACTTTAACTTTTTGCCAACTCATGTTGTTTTTTCATTAAAGCACTAAAAGTTAGTCACTTGGCTTCGCAGATTTCGCAACCGAGTACCGGTGGTGCGCAATCCGGTTTTCGTCCATCCATAGAAATTGAACAGGGCTCCTTAAAAGATACATCTTGCAACCATTTGAAACATTGCTTTTTCCGCCAAAATAAAGTTGGACACCACCATTTACAAGGCAATGCTCAGGTGTATAATTCATCCGGATCCCTGTTGAAACCCAAAACCAAAACCGTTGCAATCCCCTCAGACTGGACCAGAGCTCTGGGCATCAAGTCACTGAGACCCATCCTACGGGCTGGCGTAGGATGTTTGGGCCTTTCCGAAAGGAGGAAACGCACAGGCACCCGATTTTGGAAAGTTCAACAAGAAAGATGATGCAAAGACCTTGTCAAAGACTTGACCTCAGTCTCTTGGGCAGGTTTCGGGCAGATAGAGTTGCTTGAATCCCCTGCAATCAATGTTGTACTTGTATTCATAAATCTATGTGTCATACTTTAGAGCCTCCGGCTCAGTCCGCCGACATTGTCCTCTCCCTTTTCTCCTTCCTCCTCTCTCCCTTGTCTCCCTTGTGTGTTCTGTTGTCCTCTCTCCCTCCCCACCCCCCCCAAGCCTCTCTCTCCCCAATCTCCCTCTCTCGTATGTATGTATGCATGTACATATGTATGTATGCATGTTTGTATGTAATGGAAGTAAGTAAGTAAGTATGTATGTATGCATGTATGTATGTATGTATGTATGTATGTAATGTATGTAATGTAATGTAATGTAATGTAATGTAATGTAATGTAATGTAATGTAATGTAATGTAATGTAATGTAATGTAATGTAATGTAATGTATGTATGTATGTATGTATGTATGTATGTATGTATGTATGTATGTATGTATGTATGTATGTATGTATGTATGTATGTATGTATGTATGTATGTATGTATGTATGTATGTATGTATGTATGTATGTATGTATGTATGTATGTATGTATGTATGTATGTATGTATGTATGTATGTATGTATGTATGTATGTATGTATGTATGTATGTATGTATGTATGTATGTATGTATGTATGTATGTATGTATGTATGTATGTATGTATGTATGTATGTATGTATGTATGTATGTATGTATGTATGTATGTATGTATGTATGTATGTATGTATGTATGTATGTATGTATGTATGTATGTATGTATGTATGTATGTATGTATGTATGTATGTATGTATGTATGTATGTATGTATGTATGTATGTATGTATGTATGTATGTATGTATGTATGTATGTATGTATGTATGTATGTATGTATGTATGTATGTATGTATGTATGTATGTATGTATGTATGTATGTATGTATGTATGTATGTATGTATGTATGTATGTATGTATGTATGTATGTATGTATGTATGTATGTATGTATGTATGTATGTATGTATGTATGTATGTATGTATGTATGTATGTATGTATGTATGTATGTATGTATGTATGTATGTATGTATGTATGTATGTATGTATGTATGTATGTATGTATGTATGTATGTATGTATGTATGTATGTATGTATGTATGTATGTATGTATGTATGTATGTATGTATGTATGTATGTATGTATGTATGTATGTATGTATGTATGTATGTATGTATGTATGTATGTATGTATGTATGTATGTATGTATGTTTGTATGTTTGTATGTTTGTATGTTTGTATGTTTGTATGTATGTATGTAATGTATGTATGTATGTATGTATGTATGTATGTA